GGTGGGCGTGGCTACAGCACGAGATATATCTTAAATTTACTTGGATAGGAATAACCATTTTGACAAAAAAAATCAATAACTGCCCACTTCAGTAGGACACGGATCTAAAATAGTTAACGTGAGAGTGGGCATTGCACAGGCACTTTAAGTCAAACTAATTTGATTATATTAAACTCAAAAAAAATTTTTTTTTTGTATAGTCTGATTTGATTTTGAACTTGAATTTTTTTTATTGTAGCTCAATGTTGAAATGCTGACATATCTTTATTTTATCAAATTTGACCAAAGTTGAATTTTATAGCACATTATTAAGCAAGAAAGTAACTAAAAAAATCGCGTTTGTTGAATGCCATATAATGTTTTGACTCACTGCAACGCTATGACCTTTGTTTGTCCTGTTTTTTTAAATTTGATTTCACTCATAACACAGGATCTCACAGTAAGCGGGAAATGATTTATTTCTGCCAAATATTCCTTTTGATGATAAGGTATTTATTGTAAATTCATTAATTATTCACTGGAATATAATTTCGCTAAATCCACATGAATATGTAAAATTACAATAAAATGCATAGTTTCACAAGAAATTTGGTAAACATAAAACTATCAAAATAGTGAAATTAAAATACCATTGAAAACTTATATAATGTCTGTCATTTCAACATACAATCGCTAATTCCATTTTTGCTGCATATACAGAATTTCAAAGTTATAAACAAACAAATGTTCTTACCATTGTTTTTTCTTTGTCTTTCATTCCATCGATGTCTTTTTGTAGAAATGCAAGTTTCATTTCTAGAGCCCTCTTCTCATCTGCTAGAATCTGCTTGGACCCCTTTAGGAAAAATAAAAATTGGTTTACAAATTTGTTTCCAATCTTATTTTTGGTGTGTCAGTATGGTTTCAATTGACACACATGAGGTAATGTTATTCCAATCACACCCAGCCATTATTTCACCATCCTAACCACAATTGTGTACTATGAGGCTTAGAAAAAAGTGTTTTTGGTCAATTTATAAAATCAATGAGAATTCACACATTTTTTTATTATTATAATTGTCATAAAAATAGTGCGTTTTCCATGTAAATAGAATTTTCTTCCTTTTTTTTAATTTCAGACAAAATAAAACTAAGTATCCTCTCTCTCTTCCTTCCTCAATGCATGTTGAAGGTACACTAATACACATTATTTTAGCTGGAATTAGTTTTCGCCAAAAAAACATTTTGGGTTTTGTATGACATTTATTTTTCCTGATTTTTCATGAGTTGAATGTAAAACTTAGAAGAAAAAAAAAGTATTTTCACTTGATTGTATTTTCACTGATTCTTAACTTCGGCAACGATAGCAAAAATAAAATCCAAGTGAAAATTATGAACATAAGAATATACCTCAGACTCTGCCAGGACTTTCTTATTTCTCTCAATAACAGCTCGTAGTTTATGCAATGTTGCCTCTTGATTACTTCGTGAGGTCTTTTCTTTTTGAAGTTCTTCTGATAATTCTTTGATCTAAAAACCACAGTTGAAACAGAATTAAAACAAGGGTGGATAAAAGAAAGGCTACACATGCCATCTTCCATTATGATTCTAAAATCTCAATAAACCATCCACAAAATATGCACCGTTCGATTTGCATGGTTTTTGGCCAATCCGGCCATCCATGATCGTTCCCACGAACCCATGCATGATTGTGTTAGGAAAAGATGTATCTGACCTCAATTAAATTGAATGATTTGATTGGGCATGCTAAGGAGCTGGATCCAACAATAAGTGTTCCTGTAACAAAAACTTGTATCAATTTCAAATTTTAACCAATAAGATTGTGCCGACAGAAACACGTGAAATCAATCACAACCCTCGACTTTGTGTTATTTTTGACATGGAAGCCATCAGAGCATGTGTCGTTGTATTTGAGTTCATTTGAGTTGAGTTTTATAGTTGGATTTCTGCCAAAGTATAAATGATCCTTGGCTGGTGAAGATGCAAACAATTCTAACAAGGATTTACAATACACGGGTATGCAAGTGGTGTGATACGTAGTGATGATTTCATGAGAATTGATGATCTCACGAGAAATAAAGATCTCACAAGAATTGATTATCTCACAATAAATAAAGATCTCACAAGAATTGATGATTTCACAAAAATTGATGATTTCACAAGAATAGATGATCTCAAAATAAATAAAGATCTTACAAGAATTGATGATCTCACGAGAAATAAAGATCTCACAAGAATTGATGATTTCACAAGAAAAAAAGATCTCACAAGAATTGAAGATCTCATGAGAATCTCACGTGAATTGATGATTTCACGAGAAATAAAGATCTCACAAGAATTGATGATTTCACAAGAATTGAAAATCGTATCACAAAATATGTAGTGAAGGTTGTTTAAATACCATACCATCTGAGTGCATAATTTGCAGACTCACTGAGCAGTCTATAAATAAACGCATGAATGAAAAAAATATAAAAATTCTGCCATTCTGCCATTTATTTTTTAAAGTAAATGACTCATCGATTGTAAATCATTCAATGAAAAGGTACTTTCAACAATCATTTTTTATGAGCATAACTCATGTAAAAACAATAAAACATTTCCAAGCTTCACAAAGTATTGACAGAGAATGTTTATTTGTACTGATCGATTCTCAAAAGCTTTTAAATTGTCTAGTTGTAAAACTGGATTTCTATAGAGCTATTGCAACTTAGATCACTTCATTTTAGCTTTATGTATATATCAATGGTTTATATTGAAAGAACTTGAGACGATTATATTGCTAGACCTTTTTTTTTCAGACACATTTTTTTCTACAAAGCGGAAGTGATTTTAACTTAATTGTCTTTTGTGAAATTGGACAAAATTTAAGCATACAGTTTAATAATACAAC